TAGTTATTACTCCCATTTTAGAGGTAAAACAACTGACATTCAAAAACAAAAGGTCACAGAACTGAAACTCAAACCCAGATTTGCCTACCTCTGATCACGACATTTTATCATCTAAATATGGAAACTGATCAAATGACCAACAATAGTGGAAGGTTAGGTAAATTACGTTACATTTACTTAACATCATATTATACTACTATTAGAAATTATAGGTTGGGCGAGGTGGCTTACACCTGTAATCCTAGCACTTTGGAAGGCCAAGACAGGCAGATCACCCAAGGTCAGGAGTTTGAGACCAGCCTGGCCAACATGGCAAAACCCCATCTCTACTAAAAATACAAAAATTAGCTGGGTGTGGTGGCATGTGCCTATAATCCCAGCTATTCAGGAGGCTGAGGTAGGAGAATAGCTTGAACCCGCGAAGTAGAGGTTGCAGTGAGCCAAGATTGTGCCATTGCATTCCAGCATGGGAGATAGAGCAGGACTCCGTCAAAAAAAAGAAAGAGGGAAGGGAAGGGGATGGAAGGGGAGAAAGAAAGAAAGAGAGAAAGAAAGGAAGGAAGGAAAGAAGGAGGGAAAGGAAAGGAAAGGAAATAAATTATAAAGGTAGTTTTGCGATCAAGATCACTATGGAATATTAATCTTTTCCTTGGCTGAACACTTTATATATATTATCTAATTTAATCTTTTCCCAACAACTTTTTGAAATAATTATTTCTATTATCCTCATTTCAGAGATAGAGAAACAGAGGCTTAAGGATTAAGATGACTCTACCTGAAAAATAGCAGAGCTGACAGAAAAAACCGGGTGAGCTTGACCCCAAAGCCCATTTTTTTAATCATTACACTGTATTATTACAGTGTAATTTATATCAGTAGCTGTCTGATATAAAGTTGGTAGAGGGCCTTGAATAATTACAACTCCTTCCTTCTGAGCCTTGCATTAAAGGAAATGAGACCACAGAAGAGCACTTCAAAGTTAAAATGAATAGCATTGGTATTCGTGGTCTCTTGTTTTAGGACAAATAAATTCTAATTCGATTCGAAATAGTATTTATTTAAACCATAGAAACTATATGTATTTCTTCTGTGTTTTTCTAAAATGTTTTTAATTTTAAAAAATCAAGTTTTGACCAGATTTCTTTTTATCTTTACAAAAGGTGAATTGTGTTGCCATTGTTGCTAGTAGTGAAATAGTTAAACCCTGAGGGTATACCCTGGTGGATATCTCCCTCAACCATCTAAAGAGAGAGAGAGAGAGAGAGAAAAAAGGTCACAGTCAGTTACTCCCATTAGATCAGTGTTCATGAGAACATCTGTAGGCACACATACACACTCTCTTTACAGTCAGCCTTCTGCTTGCCACAGTCACAGTGGACAGTCAGTGAATCTTCCCCAAGTGCTGACAATTAAAACGTGGTTTAGCAGCAAAGATTCAGAGAGGTGTGAGCAGCCCCTCTGGCCTTCAGGTAGGTCTGATACCTTCATTTCTACCAAAGCTAAAAAATGGGAGCCTATGTTTGTAAACTTTAAAGGAATGAAGATGCCACACTTTGGCAGTGTGTTAGTTACAGGTGGATTGGGAGTCTAGGTAGGAAAGGGATGAGTAAAATTTGGAAAATGTGGGGCTTTCTGTTCTCTGGCTGCTTCGGGGACTTAATTCTTAGGCCTTTAGAGCACTATTATTAGTGCATAAATCATTCTCTGGCCTAAGTATAGGAAGGAAGACTTAATCCTGGTTTTACTGCCAGCAAAAATAAAATAGTGTATGCCTTAAACCTGATTAACTGTGCAAGATAGTGTTATTCACACACTAAATGCCTGAAGTTACATGAGGTTACCGGTTACTCTGGAGCAATCAGGAAACTATGGCTAGCACGGATCAGCTAGATTTAATGCTTCAGAGTACAGTATCTTTCTTTGGAAAAGAAAGTCGGTTCAGATATGGGTAACTATAAACCCAGACCTCATACTATGAGTCCTTTTATGGCATCACAGTGAATAAATGAAAATCTCCCTGCTGAAGAATGTTAGCATGGGGTTGGGAAAATTGTATATGTTTATTGGTCCTATATTTCTGTCCTTTACAAAAAGTCTTTAATGTGTTGACCTTGAAACCTCCTTCAGCTGAAGAACAGGGTCTCACTTTTTAAAATCTTCCTGTTTTTATGTAGCCTATTAAAAGGAAAAGACTTCAGTAGGTTATTTTAGATATAGTATAATCATTTAAAAACTCCTTTTAAAAACCAGGGTGTGACTAATACACTCATATTGAAACCATGGAAGAGATACAATAATCTACTCCAGTGAAAAACATATTCAAGTCAATAGAGCAAAATTTCAAAAAACTAAATGTGGCAAAATAATATAAAAACACTTCAATGATCCTGTTTATTCTTCAAATGCATACATCATCTGGTTAAAGTGTATAATCTAAAAATTAATTACTCACACTTGAACTGTGTTACAAGAGGAGGTAATTCGTCTTAGCAATAAGAAATTTTACCACTGTTTTTAGGGCCTTAAAATAATGAAGTGAGCCAAAAACAGAGCATCAAAGGGAAAACAGGTCAAAAGCCAGATTTCAAAAATCTTTAGGGGCCTAGATTAAGCTACAAAAATTGACAATCCTCCTTACAACTTGCCCAAGAAAATGTTTCTGTGTAATCTACAATAATCATGTTTTCACTTATATGAGAAGCCAAAATTCCTACAATAACCTTAAAATGAAACCAAGGGGTGACAACGAAAACTGTTTTAAAAGCCAGTGTTCTTGAAAAATCCCTTTGGATCTAGAATCCATTACCACTGTATGGCTTGCTGTGTATCTCAGTAACTGCCATCACAGGTGTTTGAAACAAGCAGGCCTTGGCTTAGGTGTTTGGCTCCTCCCAAAATGGGACAATTCTCTGATCCTAATCTCTCAGACTGAGTGTAATCACCTATAGTTTTCTGAAGTGAGGCTCAATAATGTCTCCTTTTAGTTTCTATGAATAGCATTTTTCATAGTTGCTCAGATGCCTTCTCTCACTAGTCTTGGGTAGGCCATGAATGAATAAAACACTGCCCAGATTATTTTATAAGCTGGGCAGGTTGCTGAATGTACAACTGAGGGTATAATTGAATGTAGACTGCTTTCATAACTTTGATAATAATCCTTCTCAGATACCATTTCCTCGCCTGCTTTAATCACCCACCAGATAACTGTTTAAAAATCACCCCTGTAGGAGTCTCCCAAGTAAACTAAAAATAATAACTACAAGAGATTATTTAGCAATTAATTACAGCTGAACTACAGAAATTATTTAAAGCAAAAAACAAAAACCCACCAACATCTCATTAGAGTGACCAGAGATTCTAAATAGTCCAAGGAATCTTTGCAGGAAGAATAAAGATAAATTGGATAAATTATAGTATCAACTAGCATTTATTGTTTATGTGCCATGCACTGTTCCATGAGATTTACATGTGCTATCTCATTTATTTCTCAAAACAGCACAGTGCATAGATACTAAGATTATCCTCATTTTGTAGATAAAAAGAACAGAGAGAAAAATAACTTGCCCAACATGGTTACACAGCAACTAAGTGTTAGAGCCCAATTTGGACTCCAAGAATTAAAGTTAGGGCCTGCATATTTAATGAAGGTTAGAGAAAGGGTGACAAAAATAAAACATTAAATATCTTCTGCTAATAAATTAACTACTACCAGCACCCTCATCATATGTTTATACAATTCTTTTTAGTTCAAAAGTTTATCTATCTATACCCACTGACCTGATTCCCAGGTCCTAAAGCCCCCTTCTCACCCTCTCCAACCTTATCAACTCCCATTACTGGCAGGTGGTTATGCACTAGATCTTATTTTTGGTAAATTTAAAAATAATCATAATAATAACTTTTATCTACTGTGTGCAAGTCCTTGTTCTAAGTACTTTACATATATTAAATTATGGATCATAACTTACACCCATATATGAGGTTGGTAAAATTATCAGTTTTCAGATGAGGAAACTGAGGCACACAGAGATTAAATAACTTGCCCAAAGTCATGTAGTTAGTGGCAGAGCCAGGATTTGAATCCAGCCAGTAAGCTTTCAGAGTCCATACTCTTAGCCATTATTTGTACTGCTTCTGAAGCATATTAAGAAGTAACTCTCAAAAGTCAAGGAATCTGTACTGTTTTGTTTCCTTTAACATTCGTTGTACAGGACTTTACGCTGCAAACAGGGAGCGTATTTCACATCTCTCTAAGGTAAACAATAATAAAATAGAAATTTATCAAGCTTACTTCATCTAGTAAATATTCTTTTAGTTGTAACACAAATATGAAATCCTGAATAATTCAAACACCTCTCTGCTTAGTCCCTGCTTACTACAGAATCATTAAAGAATTACCTAAAAGTTCTTGGACTGGAAATATGTGAAAAAGCCACTAACTCTATTTCCCTGGAATGAAGATGAAAATGAGATGTGTTTAGGAACCTTCTCTGCCTCCCTAAAAGAACCCTAAAAACAGCAGTAAAAATAGTGAAGAAAACAAAGGGCCTTTAAAGTGCACTCACTAAAAACTAGTGACTATATTTCAATTGTTAACGGTAGAAGTAAAAATCACTAACGGGCAATGTCTCCCCTGCACTAGGGATTCAGAGACCCATCTTTCGGTACTTTAAGACAGTTACGGCTTTTGTAACCCTGGTGTCCCCTTCAACCTCCTGCCACAGCACCTCCAGAGTCCTCGAAGGTGCAATTCTGAGTCGCGCTCCAAAGCGTCCAGACAGGCAGGACACCCTAACGACACTTCTGCCGGGAGTCCCTTCAGACTGCGGTCTCCAGGCAACCGCACTTCAACGGAAGCAGTTGTGCTTCCTACCGGGTCACCTGTTCAAAAGTCCCCAGGAGTGGCTCCAGCAATAGCAGAGTAGAGGTTTGCCCGACACCGCTCCGGCCGCTGCAGCCTTCCCGCAACCCGATGTTGGGTCGGTGTCAGCTACTCTCACCTCCCATTCCCTAGTTTTCCGCCTTGGCTCCCATCTAGTCACTTCGCACCTTCGGCTAGTCTTTGTTCAGAGACACATTCCAGGAATCCCCTCTCCCAGAGCAACAAAGACAGATTTCCAAAGCCACACAACCATAGAGAAAGGATTCCTGGGAAATGTGGTTCTTTCCGCTGACGCGTGGTGACTCTTTAAGGAAAAGAACTACAACTCCCGGAAATCCTAGGGAGAATAGTCCGTGGCTACAACATGTCCCAGATCCTTGGATGGTATAGGCAGGAAAGGTTCTGTGGCTCTTTACTGACCTAATTCCTCGGATTTTGCCCTTTCAGTCCCACTGCAAGCGTGTGGGAGGACTTAAAAAATGCTATTTACATGTGAAGGTATCTAAATACGGTGATTTATATGAAGTGATCGCTAAGTCATTTTATTTTATAATTCTTTCAGACAAAAACCTACGTACCATCAGAAAATATGTCACTGCAGATGGTAACAGTCAGTAATAACATAGCCTTAATTCAACCAGGCTTCTCGCTGATGAATTTTGATGGGCAGGTTTTCTTCTTTGGCCAAAAAGGCTGGCCCAAGAGATCCTGCCCTACTGGAGTTTTCCATTTGGAGGTAAACCGTAACCATATCAAATTGAAGCCTACAATTTTCTCTAAAGATTCCTGCTACCTCCCGCCTCTTCGCTACCCAGCAACTTGCACATTCAAAGGCAGCTCGGAGTCTGAAAAGCATCAATACATCATCCATGGAGGGAAAACACCAAACAATGAGCTTTCAGATAAGATTTATGTCATGTCTGTTGTTTCCAAGAACAACAAGAAGGTTACTTTTCGCTGCACGGAGAAAGACTTGGTAGGAGATGTTCCTGAAGCCAGATATGGTCATTCCATTAATGTGGTATATAGCCGAGGGAAAAGTATGGGTGTTCTTTTTGGAGGACGCTCATACATGCCTTCTACCCACAGAACCACAGAAAAATGGAATAGTGTAGCTGACTGCCTGCCCCATGTTTTCCTGGTGGATTTTGAATTCGGGTGTGCTACATCATACATTCTTCCAGAACTTCAGGATGGGCTGTCTTTTCATGTCTCTATTGCCAAAAATGACACCATCTATATTTTAGGAGGACATTCACTTGCCAATAATATCCGCCCTGCCAACCTGTACAGAATAAGGGTTGATCTTCCCCTGGGTAGCCCAGCTGTGAATTGCACAGTCTTGCCAGGAGGAATCTCTGTCTCCAGTGCAATCCTGACTCAAACTAACAATGATGAATTTGTTATTGTTGGTGGATATCAGCTTGAAAATCAAAAAAGAATGATCTGCAACATTATCTCTTTAGAGGAAAACAAGATAGAAATTCGTGGGATGGAGACCCCAGATTGGACCCCAGACATTAAGCACAGCAAGATATGGTTTGGAAGCAACATGGGAAATGGAACTGTTTTTCTTGGCATACCAGGAGACAATAAACAAGTTGTTTCAGAAGCATTCTATTTCTATACGTTGAAATGTGCTGAAGATGATATGAATGAAGAGCAGACAACATTCACAAACAGTCAGACATCAACAGAAGATCCAGGGGACTCCACTCCCTTTGAAGATTCCGAAGAATTTTGTTTCAGTGCAGAAGCAAATAGTTTTGATGGTGATGATGAATTTGACACCTATAATGAAGATGATGAGGAAGATGAGTCTGAGACAGGCTACTGGATTACGTGCTGCCCTACTTGTGATGTGGATATCAACACTTGGGTGCCATTTTATTCAACCGAGCTCAACAAACCTGCCATGATCTACTGTTCTCATGGGGATGGGCACTGGGTCCATGCTCAGTGCATGGATCTGGCAGAACGCACGCTCATCCATTTGTCAGCAGGAAGCAACAAGTATTACTGCAATGAGCATGTGGAGATAGCAAGAGCTCTACACACCCCCCAAAGAGTTCTACCCTTAAAAAAGCCTCCAATGAAATCCCTCCATAAAAAAGGTTCTGGAAAAATCTTGACTCCTGCCAAGAAATCCTTTCTTAGAAGGTTGTTTGATTAGTTTTACAAAAGTTTTTCAGATTCAGGTGTTTGGAACTTTTGAATCTGCTTTAAAAATCATAACATTGATTTTAAAAATATGTTTCTATTTTTGTTTATTTAAAATGCCTATGTTTTCTTTAGTTACATGAATTAAGAGCCAGAAAAAATATGTTTATAATGCAATGATAAATAAAGACACTCTAGAACCTATACATTTTGAAAATATTTTACTCAAATACTCAATTTACTCATTTATCCTTAACTGAGAATTTCCTATCTGAATTTTTACATACCCAGAGGCAGTAACAATCATTGACATATGTTTGTACTTCTTATATGAGTCTTGGTAACAAATAACCTATAGAGTGGTTATGACAAATTTAGCCAATAAAGAAATTAACATGAAAAATAATTAAATTAATTATTTTGTGCAATAAAACAATTCAGCAGTTTGCCAAAACTTAAAAGCAAGATCATCTACATCCCATACCAGTGTTCTTTATATACCTTTAAGCAACCCCTTAGATTATGCCTGTGAACAATTTAGTTCCTTAAAGCTTTACAGATATAAATATACATGTAGATATAGATGATGTTCTCCACTGACATGAAGGAAGAAATAAAGAATCTACATCAAGTTTGATATGTTTTCCCGAATTATTTGCATGCATTTTCTTTAAGGATTTCCCTTCCCCATTATATGATGCATGAATGATGTGCCAAAGTCAGTCATTTGAACTAATAATTTGTGGGAGTTTTTGTGGAAAACTGAAGCCTACTGCTACTTAGAACTCTGGAAAAAGTAAGACCAAATAAATATCATAGAGATGAATAATATTGGTTATTTCCCAAACTAATATAAGTTTAAAGAATTTCCTGACATTTACAGGCAGAATATTTAAATAGAGGAAAAGAAATGTATTTGTGTGCATGTGTGTGTATAGTTAACACACATGTGGAGGTTGCTGCCAGTGAATGTTAAAAAGTCAGTGATCTTGCCAAGGTTTAATTAGATACTTACTAGGATGAAATTAGTCAAAATGACTATTAATTTTAAGGTTTCAAGACATCAGTTAATAACCAGATGACTTTAGAAACAAATGCCTTTCCTCCTGGAATATTTTCCTGAAAAAATCACTTTTCTGGAAAAGCCTTATCCTAAGAGCTTCAGTCACAGTTACAGTGAAGACTCTTACTCTTCACTGAAAGTCTACGGTGTATAAGGTACTAATAGCAAATTTAGGGGAAACATGAACTATACAAGAGATGAAAAGCAGGAGCGCAAGTTCTGCTGATAGTTCCATGTCTTAGATACTGAAGCTAACTTAGATAAACTGAATCACGTTCACCCTGTTTCAATAATGTTGCTCACTGAATATTCCTTTTGAACAATTGTTTCACATTGATTTTTTTGTTGTTTCCATCACCTATATAAAAATGATAAAATATAAAAATCTTCTGTTTGTATTGATTTACTCAAATTATTAAGATATAAATAACCTAAATAAAGGCAAAATTAAACTAATTTTTTCAGGATCACTCCACTTTGATTTTTTTTCTATCTGTTAGTAGAAAAATGGCACAAGTTGGAGCAAAAACATCCTTTACAGAGTCCAAAAGTGAAATTTCCCCAAGGTGTAGATATATTCTCTCTTCCTGATTTGTCTGCAGAGATTCAGTGGCTAAGGAATTATTACCACATATTTATTTTGTAGCCAATGAAATCCAAATATGGTAATCTAAGTGATTCAACTGTGAAGTCACTGAATTTCATAGTCAAACTCAGATCTCACCAGCATAGCTGCTTTTGGGGTGTGTGTGTGTGTGTGTGTGTGTGTGTGTCTATGTGTGCATGTTTTAAAAGCATGCAGTTTGGTTATAGATTATATGTTTGAGTAAAACATATAATTTGAGTAAAATTAAGTCTTTTTTTGTCATCTGAGCAATGAGTTTATTTGATGTGACTTTAAGATACTGTGTCACTGCTTTTCTAATAAGCAAATGCAAACATTCAAATGAGCCACGTTAAAAGAACAGACACCTATTTCAACAATACTGCCTTTCCCTAAAATGTTTCAGTGACTCACATTTCAGTCAATCACCTTTAAAATATATGGTTCATTTCCTTGAAGATGTTCAACAGCTGTCCCTCTTTCTTCACTAAAGATGGATTTAATTTCTGGAAGCAGGCAAGTGTCATTCAAAGACTAGCACAGTGAGATTTTTCAGTATTACACTACCACTTTAGGTCAAAACAAAAATGTGAATACAAGCTAACAAAATGGATTTTCTGATATGGCTTATGAATGGGTTTTAAAGGAAAGTCACAAAATTGTTTGTACAAGACTATAAGAGTAGTGTCAAGAAATAAGTATATGGTTTCCCAAGGTAATCATTTTAGGGGACTATACACATCTATAAGTACAGGTGAGTTCAGTGTGTTAGGGGAAAGGGAAGGTATAAAGAAAAAGAAATTGTTATTCCAAAGGCACTGGGGAGAGATGAAGCTTGTCACATCTGAGGAACTGAAAGGTCAGCCAAACATGGTAAACAAGTAGGGGTGGGGTGCCATGAGCCCAGAGAGGAAGGCAAGGGCCAGGGATTCAATTTTTCATCAGTAAAATAAAATCACATTCTGCTCTGCCTATGTTGGTGAGCAGTTATAAGGGCCAAGCACAGCTTTTATAAACTAAAAAATAACATATGCTCTTGTTGTGTGTTCAAAAACATAGTTTCATTATTCTCTATCACTGTGAAATACATCCAGACACTCTGCATAAAAATTATTTAAGAGGGTATTTGCCAGAGATTTTACCATAATAAACATATGTAATTACAAATTCCAACTGACAAATACAAAATCTAGACCACACATCATCAAGGACTATGTAAAAATATTTTAGGTAGCCTGAAGGAAGGAAAACTAATGGTCTTGAATAATGGTTAACAAGATGATCAATAAAACAATCTAGATTCAAAGATATAATTGATGGTATGTGATCTCATCTTGCACTGAAAATCAAATTATGAGATCAGATTTCTCAGAAATAATATTCTTTTTCATAGACCATAGATTGATAAAATGAAGTACTCGAAGTTTGGTTAAGAGATAAAT